AGCTGTGAGTTTGAGGCCAGCCTGAGCTACAAAAGTGATTTCAAAGTCAACACAAACTGTATAGGTAGACCCTGTCTCAAAAAGACAAAAATAAATAAATAGTTTAAGAACCTAAAAATAAGTTTAACGGTAGCTAAGTAATTTTTAACATTTCCAAGCAGAAATCTAGTTTACACTACTGAAGCAACAATGTCAGGTACAAAAAAAAAAAAACAATGTCAGGTGTGGTGGCGCTGGCCTGTAGACCCAGCACTGAGGAGGCTGACACAAGAGGATTACAAGTTTGAGCCCAGCTGGGATACCTTAGAAATTTAGCAAGATCTTGTCTCAAAATTCTAAAACATTTTTCATGGGAGGAGCTATAATTCAGTGCAAAGGCCCTGGGCTCAATCTCCAGAATTCCCATTGCAAAAAAGAACTCCTCCCCTTAAAAAAAATCTATCTTAGGCATTCTGGAAAACGTGAAAGTATGGAGAGTAAAATGATCAGCTTTGTCAGTATTCTGGAGGAAGAGGGGAAGATGACTAAATGAGGCAACCGGACTTTCAGGGCAGTGAAACTACTCTATGTGACACTTTGTAATGGTGGATATATATTATTAGACATCTGTCAAACACTATATAACACCACAGTAAGGACCAAGGGCTTAGGCAATACTAATGTGCTATATTAGTGTTGCCTCAACAACTTTGGATTTAGTTTTGGTTGTTTTTACTTATTTATACACACACACACACACACACACACACACACACATATATATATATATATATTTTTTTTTTTTTTTTAAGAGACAGGTTCTTGCTATGTAGTTCAGGATGGCCTTGAACTCCCTATGTAGCCTAAACTCATCTTGAACTCACAACAATCCTCCTGCATCAGCCTCCCAAGTGCTGAGATTTAAAAATGTGTGTCATCACACTTGGCAGTGTTGCCTCAACAACTGTAACAAATGTACTGTACTAGTGTAAGATATAAATAAGGGGAAACAGTATTTTGAGGGAGTTTAATGGGAACTCTACTTCTTGCTCAATTTTTTGTAAAACTATAAATTTCTCCAAAATGTCTTTTTTTAAAAATCAATCTTATGAAACAAATTCTACATAGGATTTTAAGAAGCAATACAAAAAAATAAAAAAAAGAAACAATACAATCCAGGCTGTGTGGCACAAGCCTATGATGCCAGTACTCAGGAGGCTGAAGCAAGAGGATCATTGCAAATTCAAGGCCAGCCTGGCCTACAAAGCGAGCTCAAGGCCAGCCTGAACTGCATAGCAAGATTCTGTCTCAAAAAAACAAAACGAAACAAAAAAGAATAAATACAAATGACTTTGATTTTTTTTTTTTCTGTACTGGGGATCGAACTCATGATCGCCAAGGCAGGCTCTTATGCTACTCAACTTTTTAATCCCTGGATCCATGACCTTGATATTCTAAAAGCACCTGAATGTGGCCTGGGATGGTGGTATATACCCTCAGCACTGGGGAGGCTGAGTCAGGATGATTACCATAAGTTCAAGGTCAGCCTGAACTATATAGAAGCCTTGTCTCAAAAATCCAAATAAATAAATAAATGCCTCTGGACTAGTTGATAAGTGTACAGCCATCTTTTAAAGAGCATGTTATCCAACAGAACTTTATGCAATGATGGATATATTATAGACTTCTTCTAATACAGTAGCCTCTGGCCACACCAGCTATTGGAACACCTGATAGTTGGTTAATATAACTGAGGAACATAACTTAAAAATTTTATTTAACAAATTTAAAAAGCTACATGAGGCTAGTGGCTATCATACCAGCAGTTTTAGACAATTTCTCAATCGCCCTCAAAACAAATGCACTGTAATATTATCTCTAAAAGAAAAATCTACCTTAAAAGAGATGATTCAAAAGGATTTAATTAGAAAACAATGCCACCAATTAACCAAGCAGGTCAACAGTGACTAGGTACTTGAGCCCAGGAGTTCAAGGCCACTCTGGAAAACATAGAGAGACCCTATTTAAAACAAATGGAGCAGGAGGTTGTGGTGACTCTGTACTCCCAGCACTTCCGAGGCTGAGGCAAAAAGATCTCCAGGAAAGCCAGGCATGGTACCAGGCATGGTAGCTCACCCCTGTAATCCCAGCACTCAGCAGGCTGAGGCAGGAGGATCGTTGCAAGTTTGAGACCAGCCTGGGCTACAAAGTAAGCTCAAGGCCAGCCTGAACTGCATAGTGCGATCCATTATCCAAAAAAAAAAAAAAAGGGTTGGGGACAAAGCTCAGTGGCTCAAGTGCTTGCCTGGTAAGTGTGAGGTCACGAGTTCAATCCTCGGTACCAAAAAGAAAAAAAAAAAAACACACACACACCAAAAAAGAAAGAAAGGTCGCCAGCCTGTGATACATAGCAAGACCCTATCTCAAAACAAACAAACAGACAAAAAAAGTGACCTGGTTAAAAAAAAATGACCAGGTAGATGATTCAAATGACCAGGAACCCAGGAACCTATAAAGCCAATTTCCGACTTTCCTCACTTCAAGTCCTACAACAAGTGGCTTTTAATTTTGTCAGTATTTTTTTAAGAAACAACCCAATTTGTTACATATCATTTCTGCTTCAAGAAAAAGAAGGCAGAGGCTGATTCAGAATTAGGGAATATTTTACCAAGTGAGGGATCTGGAGGAGAGGAACTTAGTGAGACCCTGTCTCAAAGCAAAAAAAAATTAGGTGGGGTTTTGGGGGTTTGGTTTTTTTTTGTTTTTTTTTTTTTTGTACCAGGGATCTAACTCATGACCTTTCGCTCTCCAGGTAGGTGCTTACACCACTGAGCTAAATCCCAGGCCCCTAAAAGAAAAATTAAAAGGCTGCAGATACAGCTAGTATGAAGGTTCTGGGTACAATCTCCTGTCCAGATTTTTTTGCTTTGCTTTTTGTTTTGGTGTTTGGAGACATGGTCTCACAAAGTAGTCCAGGCTGGTGTTCAACTCTCTACTGTCCTCTCAGCCTCCCAAATGCCAAGATTACATGTACATAGCACCAGGTAGGGTCAAAATTGAAAATATTCACCCACTTTTTAAATGAACATTCAAAAACTGACATTTAACACTGCATTTCAGTTACATGTCATAGTCGATAGGAAACCAAAAGGGAAAAAGATTCTCACAGAAGTATGAGCAGTGGAGAGACATATGACTATTCAAATCCAGTTGTTAACCAAAGCTTTGTGCATGAAGGGTCATTATCTCTTATCTTGGTCCTTTAAACTACTAGTTGATAAACCTCAGTTCCTAATTCAATGACTTTTTGTCCTTATCCCAGTGGCATAGAAAGACACTCAATTGTAGTGGCTTTTTATCCGGGAGTTCTCTCCTATGAAACCTATGAAACCAAACACTGAGACTGGCTTTTGCACCCTAAGGGATAAGTGAAGTGTCCAGTGTAACACTGTTGAAACCCTAAAGTACGTTCACCTACAGTTTTATTCAGTACTATAAGCACTGGATCTCGATGATCTCTCTCTCTCTCTCTCTCTCTCTCTCTCTCTCTCTCTCTCTCTCTCTCTCTCTCTGTTTCTTAATCCTGTGTATCACTGAGCTAAATCCCAGGCCCCTAAAAGAAAAATTAAAAGGCTGCAAATACAGCTAGTATGAAGGTTCTGGGTACAATCACTCAATCCTGTGTAGAATACAAAGAGAAAGAAAGGTAACTGAGAAGTAGTAACACCTTCCTGCCAAGACACGACCTCAGAAACAGGTCCCCAAAAAAACAGATGCTTGACACTTGCTCGAATGTGCAACGGGACCTTTGTTCTCCCTTTTGAAGTTCATGAATTGCATTAGAAAAATATTACATATTTCGTAATTTCATAGAAGAGTGATTTCTAAGATTAACCAGATACATAAGTAATATTAAATAGCCTTGAGTGATCAAGCAGGGAGTCCAAAGAATTGAACCTGTCAATCTGTTCACCTGCCAGGAAAAAAAAAACAAAAAAAAAACAAAAAAACCCGGGAGGTTTCGACCTTCCCAGGTCCATTCCCCGCAGTTCTCGTTCATGTGCCCCAAAAGACTTCTACCCTCTTCGTTGTGCAATCTTTTTCAAACTCCGCCCACAGAGCTCCAGAACAAGTGGAATCTCCCATTCGCAAAGGTCTCGATTTGACTGTATCCAGGGAGACACACAAAACTCCTTGACATGAGGCAAGGAAGGCATGGGAAACGGTCCAGCCTGTCTCCCAGATTAAGAAAGACCAAAGGCCAGGCTTGGGAAGCTCTCGAGTTTCTGCTTATCAATTTAAAAAGAAAGAAAGAGAAAGGAAGGGGGGTGGGCAGGACTGGGAAGAACAGCGACAAGGAGATGCTGCTCCCAACTGCGGGTCCCAGGTCGCCCAGCATCACCCGCCCGTCAGCCGGGTCTCCTGGCCCCCGCCCGCCGAAGGCGCCCTCTCCCTCAGGCCACCCGCGCGCACAGTGGCAGGGCGCGCAGGGGCGGAGGAAGGGGCTCCAGCAGTTATCTTGCTGCGCCACAGCCGCGCCCGAGTGCCCGGGGCGCCCCGCAGCGCGCCCTGCGCACCTGCCCGCAGCTGGGAGGGCGAGCCGAGTCCCGGAGCCCGCAGACGGTGGCGCTCGTGGTTCAAGCAGCGCAGCACTGGGAACAGTGCGCTGCGACCCAGGGCAGTGGGAGAGGAGACACCTGGCGCCCGCGGCCACGCACGTGGCTGTCACACCTGGCGCGCCCCCGCTACAAGCTCGCACCCCCGAGACCAGCGTGCACCTTGCTCTTCCTCATCCCCAGCATCGCGCGCCCTCAAACCCCAGCCAATGTCCTTTCGCACCCCATCCATCCTGGTCCCACCCCCCCCACCTGCTCCCACTGTCGTCACCCACGGGAGGGAGAAAGGCCGGATGTTCGTCCCGTGCCTAAAGGTACCCAGGGAGAGTGAAGAGGTGGACCCCGAAAAGGGTAGATCGAGCATCTCCTTGGCACAGCAGTAACGGAGATGTCCACCTGACTGACCTTCTGCCGTGGGCTGCGTCGCCGTCCGCCCCGTCCGGCCTCTACAGCCTCCTCTGCGCCGCCGCCTCTTCCCCGCGCTGCCTCCTCTACCCGCGTCGCCATGAGGTGACGGCAGCAGCCAAACAAGCGGCCCGACAACAGGCACGGAACCTCTCTGGGTCCTGTGCTCCACCTCCAAATTCCCACGGCAAATCGCCTTGCGCTAGTCCTCCCACGTGACCGGAGGAGGTTGGCTCCCCCAGGGCAGGACCGCGATGGGGGTGGGGAACAGTGAAGCCCAGCCTGGGATTCTGCGAGGACCGAAGGGCAAGCAGAGGCCGCGCGACTGTGCGCGGACCGCGGAAGGGACTCGGGAGCGGACTACAAATCCCAGCAGGTCGCGCGGTCTCGGTGTAGCGCTCCGGATTGGAATTGGAGCGTAATGCAGCGATGTGAGAGGCACAGAGGGGCACAAGAACCTGAGAAGATGCGTGTGCAGCCCTATGGGACTTGTAGTTTCTGGGGCGGTGTCTCAGTACCAAATGGTACTAGTTATTATCCTACAGGAAAAGTTTAAATATAGTGCAATGTTGGAGAAGGAGCAGAATCAGGGACACTTTGTTGTATTGCTGGTTTTGTTGCTGTTTGTCGGAATGGAGCGTGAATGGTTTAGGAATAAAGGAACATTCGCGATGCTCAAGGTGGATATCATGGCTCTCAGAATATGAAGCTTTGGGCTGGGACACTGGTCAGAGTCCAGCCCTTCCACCGGCGTTCTTCTCACAAATTGCCCTGAGCGCCTGTGGGTGGGCGCCGCCTCCCCTTCCCTTTGGCTGAGCCATCCCTGCTCTAGTTCACTTCTGCGCAATTGGTTGGAGCTTAATTCGTGTTAAATGTATCCTGCTTTTTCCATCATTCGTTTCGTTAAATATTTCAACAAACTCAGTTTACTGAATCAGTTATTTTTCTTCCCGTGACGGGGAAGGAGGCTTTCCTGCATAATATTTACTGTTTCCTGCTGATGGAAAGATTTCCCATGAGATCTTGAAGTCACAGGACCATCATGAAATCCTGACATATTGGCTTAAATAATTCGTTATGAAAATGTGTGCAAATCCTACACCATTTTTTATTGGAGATGAATACAAAACAATGGTAGCAGGTGCAAAAAATTTAATAACATGCATGATAGTAAATTTTGATATCCGGGAAATCTCACCCATGGATTTTAATTATTCTGTAAATTAAGGAAAAGTACCATTGTTTTGCTTCACGGGCAGAACACCTCAGACCATCTATGAGGTGGTCAAAAAGAAAGAAGAATTTGAGACATGGATGGCAGTTAATAATGAACCTATACCAAGCTATGTAAACCTAATGGCTTTGGCCACCAAATCTCATTTTCTTAAAGGAAGAAGTCAATGAGCGACTTAGAACAAATGTATCCATAGTGCAATTGGCCAGGAAATTGAGTGACAGTCTGCAAGGTAGTTAAATTGTAGTACAATAGAATACAAGGTAGCTAGTAAAATTATAAGCGTTTTTTTTTTTTTTTTTTGTCTTTTTCATTTTTATCGGTACCAAGGATTGAACTCACGACCGCCTGCTTGCAAGGCAGGTGCTTATGCCGCTGAGCTAAACCCCCAGCCCCGCGTTTTTAAAAATTGACAGGAAGAAAAAGAAATTTCATTTATGTAGAATTGCCTGGGAGTATGTTTATATAGAGATATTTAGAAGATTACTCATCAAAATGATAATAACATTTTTCCTGGGTGGTGAGACTTGGGAATCATTTTACTTCATGATTTTATGTATTGCTTCATTATGTATGAACCAAAACAATCAATAATATTATCATTATGAAGAAAAATAACTGCCTGCGACCTCAGGTCTTAAGAGAAATGAATATTCAGTCGTATTTATTGCTACACATCCTCATTTCATAAAGGATTTAGAATGAATTATATGCAACATGCTATAACACACATGCATGAAGATGTCATACCATGTGCATGTGCAGCGACACAGATACACACATACACACAAATAATAAAAGGAAAGGATGGGAAAATAAAGTGATGTCATGACATGTTGAGGCTATAAAATGCACACCATAAGCTCATACCGTCAAGCTGGAGGTAAGCAATATTTTTATTTTGAGCTTCTCTATAGCTGAGAAAAGAGGAAAACACAATTTACAATTAGATTTATCACATCGCAAAACAAAAACAAACTGGTTGCTCAAGAGAAACATAGTGAGTACTGGTCCTGTGAGAAATATAGATATTTTGGTTTGTTGAGTTATTTTCTTTTGTTTTTCACTTTCTTTCTTCCTGTCTCCCTCCCTCCCTCTCCTTTCTTCTCTGTTAGGGACCAAGACCAAGGCATGGCACATGCTAGGCAAGCACTCTACCACTGAGCTACACCTGCAGCTTTTCTTTCTTTCCTTTTTTTTAGACAGGGTCTCACTATGTAGTTCAGCGTGGTCTTGAACTCACTAAGTAGCCCAGGCTATCCTCAAATTTGCAGTAATCCTCCTGCTTTAGCCTCCTGGGTGCTGGGATTACAGTCGTGCGCCACCACACCCAGCCTAGTGTGTTTCATGTAACATTTGTAGTTTGGGTTTTCATTTTTTGAGACAGGATCTTGCTATGTAGTTTAGGCTGGACTTGAACCCATTATGTAGCTCAGCTGGCCTCCCAAGTGTTGCGATTACAGGTGTGTGCCACCATGGCATGGTCTTACATCATCTTTGATACACACTACAGTAGTTTTCCAATCTGTCTACAAGTCCTTCAATGTTCCTCACTTACCAAAATGAAGTCAAATTCCTTTTCTCATGAATGTGAGTCACACTTAGTAATCTGCTTCTAAAGAATACAATGAGGCAAAAATGATACATACTTTCCAAAACTGGATGAAAGAATAGTTTCTGCCTATTACGTTCTCTTCCATCATGCTTTTCTCCTCTAAATTAGACTAATCTTATATTTATCACTCATTCTTTCTTTAGATCTTTATCTCAGGTACATCATAATTGGTTCCTCTCTAGCCTTAGGCTTGGGCAAAACTTTCTCTCTTTTTTTTTCTTTTTTTTTTTTTGGTACCAGGAGTCAAATTTGTACTTTGCCAGGCAGGCACTGTGCCACTGAGCTATATCTCTGGCTCCAAAGCTTTCTTCATAAAGCACTTTGCCTGTCTCTGTTGGTATCCACTACTGGGGGCTACATCTTAGGTGCTCAAGGACTATCATTTTTTTATTCCTTTATTCAAGGGGCATCCCTTGGTTGGTTTCTTTGTTTTTTGAGACAGGGTCTTGCTATGTAGTGCGGGTTGGCCTTGAACTTGCTTATGTAGGCTGGAATTGAATTCATGGAGATCCTCCTGCCTCAACCTCCCAAGTGCTGGGATTACAAGTGTGTACCACTATGCCTGGCCTACTCCATGTTCTGTCTACTATGATTCTTCTCATCTTTGCTCTAGGAGATAGTACCTGCGTTAAGAACCATGCCTGCCAGAAGGGGAAAAGCCACAAATACCTTGCATCATCAAACAGGGGGCATTCTGTGCAAGCTCCCTAGGGGCTGGATAACCTGAACAGAAGCACGCATATTCAGATTCTTACTAAAGTTTTGAAAGCACACCATGGTGGTACAAGTGTGTCATCCCAGCACTTGGGAGGCTGAGGCAGGAGGATAACCATGAGTTCAAGACCAGCCTAGGTGACATGAATTCCATAGTGACACCCTGTCCCAAAAATTAAAAAAAAAAAAGGTTTGAGCAAGCAGGCACAAAACAATTTGTGTATACAAAGCCCAGGAGGGCTGAAGGTTTAGCTCAGTGGTGTAAGCGCTTGCCTTGTAAGCATGAGATCCTGAGTTCGATCCCCAGAACCAAAAAAAAAAAAAAAAAAATCTGTATACAAAGACCAGGGGAGTCCCAACTCTGTGGCCTAAGGTGCTCCAACCATCATTTTATGACCCTTGGAGTGCTGGGGACAGATCAGCCACTATTACAGAGGCAGATTCTGTTGGCTTTATAGCTAGCCAACTTTGATCTCTGGAACCCACAGAGATCAAAGCTGATACACGTAGCTGGACATAGGAGGAAAGGTATACAGGATTATTCCAAGAGGAACAGGCTTCAGACGTGGCAGGCTTTTACAGTTTGTTAATGTGAGGGGTGGTGACCTTTTTTATGGCATTAACGATTGAGTTACATCCCCGGCCTTTTCAATTTTCTTGTTATATTGTTTTGAGACAGGGTGTTGCTAAAGCAGTATATTGCCCACGGTGGGCTTGAATTTGCAGTCCTCCTGCCACAGTCACCCAGAATGCTAGGATGAGAGACACATGTCCCAAAACTGACTGACATATTTTGAATTTCACTGGTTTTACCAACACGAGCTCATCTCTAGTACCAAGTATTCAAGCTATTAATTTCATTAATGAAAACCCATTTCTTTCTTTCTTTCTTTTTGGCTGTGCTGGGGAATGGAACCCCAGCATGCTAAAACTGGGCTTTACCCCTGAGCTCCACCCTAGCCCCTGAAAATGCATTCTAACCTTCACTCTGTCACCGAGCCAAGCATGGCTCACAGTTGCTAGGCTATAAACTGCTCAGCACACTATACTGGCTGTGAAGACCAGGACTGAGGCCAGCCCTCTTCCTCTGCAGGACCTCATCGCACCCGGTAATATGAGAAAGGCACTGGACAGTTGAAGAAGCAGACTGGCCAGGAAAATTAAAGAAAACCTCCAAACCCAGGGCAAGCACTAGACAGGCCAGGCTGCCAGAGCCTATCACATAATGTTCAGAAGACCAAGGATCTTGGTCAAAAAGAGAACTTCGGCCAGGCCTGGAGGTGCCTGCCTGTCATCTCAGCACTAGGCAGGCTGAGGCAAGAGAATCACTGCCGTGGGTCTGAGGCCAGATTGCACTACATAGCAACACCCTGTCTCAAAACAAACAAACACCAAACACCAAAATGATGATGATGACAATAATTGGCCTTATTTGCAAGGCTATAACTATATATTCCACACAAATGGAAGCCCTGGCTCTCCTGACCTAATAATGCCTGTGAGCAGTAGAAATTGTCCTGATTTTGTGCCCACCAACCTTCCCATTTTCATGGGACTCAGTCAGTGGGCTTGACCACAGATTGTTCCCATTCTGCAAAACACTTCCATTACTCATTGCCAATGAGGGGACATTGAGTTTAGTCATCAGGCCAAGAGCCTGGGTGCAGTGTACTCTG